GGCGGCTCCCCGCTTATGCTAATGAAGCCCGGGAAATTCAAATCCCGGGCTTCATTAGCAAGTGCGGTATGCATACATTACCCCGCTAGTTCGAACTAGCGGGGTAGTGTAGACATACCCACAGCTACATACAGAGTGAACAGTTTATGTAGCCTATTTTAACACACAGGGCCATCCTTTGGAGGTATCCTTAGAATGCAGTACTGTTAAACTAATGCCTCTATGCCTGATGTAACAGTTAATCCGAACTAAAGACTTAGTGCGGATTAACTTTAAACTGCCGCGGGCAGTTCGTTCGAACTAAGGGGGATTTAAAAATGGCGGCCGGCCGGGAACATGCAAATAAAGCCCGGGATATTTAAATCCCGGGCTTCATTTGCAACTCCAGTTGCTTGATTTGCCTACCTAGCTCAAATTAATGAGCTAGTGTAGACATACCCTCACACAGAAAATTCAGAAACCACTAGTATATATTTGGGGTTGGCAAATGCATGTTGCATGGCTGCATTACCAGGGGAATGGCTCTTTCACAGGTTCAGTGTCCACTAATAGGTCTGGCCGGCTATGTCACTTTTAAGTTAACTAGATTGTCTCTGGGGGAAGCAGCGCAACAGAACAGGGACAGGAAGAGGCAAACAGGTGGACATTAAAACCCAGTGATTCCCCAAATTTTCAGGTGCCATACGTAGGGTAAAGATAGCCTTGATAGCACACATTTCAAAGGACAATTCAAGGTGAAGTGGCCTGTTAACATAGCCCCGCAGTCATAGGGGGAATGTAAAAAGTGGGGAGGCAACTGGATGGGGGGCTATTGGTGGGGCTGTTACTGTGATTGCTGTAATAACCCATAAATCCAGTGACTTTATTCAGTTCATGATTTTTAGTCTCTAGCAAAGTTATGAATTTAAGCTCCCAGAATTGTCCTTTGAAAGTGTTGCGCAGAGGACTGTTAGGTCAGATATAGAATGATCACTTAGTGGAAAGTATGATGTGATGTTCTTGTCTTGTGATCCATATCCTGGATGAGTTCATTAGACAGACTAGCCATTGTGTGGTTTCATCTACATAATCGTTACTGGAGCATTTAATGTGGTGGATGAAGTACCCCACAGGTTGTGACAGGCAGGTGAAGGACCCATGGATTGTGAAAGGTGTGTTGTTTAGGATGTTAATCGCTGTAGTAGTGGAGTTATATCTGCAGTTTTGCACCTGTTCTGGCAGGGCCTGGGGTTGCTTTGAGTTGGTGTGTGCTGGTCTGGGAGAGATCTCGCAAGGTGGGTGGTTGTCTGAAGGCCAGAAGTGGAAAGATTTCTTTCAGTATTGTCCTCATCAAGTATTGGTTGTAATTATTTGGTGATACATTGTTCCAAAGTGAGTGGGTAGGTAACAACTAGAAATGTCCAATCTGAGGGAGTTTTATTTTTGGTCTTGAAGCAGGTGCCTGTGGTATTTGGGTGGCCCATTCTAGGGATGTTCTACCATTAACTGCTAAGCATCCTCTTTGCTGGTGAATTCCAGTAGTGGCCTGCCATGCCAGGCTGGAGCATCTCTGGCCACAGAGGTGCTGGTGGGCTGGGAAGCAGGACCTCATGTCCATGGTGGGATCCCATGGCCATAGTGAGGCCGGATGACAGACTCCTACATTAAAACCGGTCAAGAGTTATCATGTAACCAGTTAATTGGTTTAACTTCCCTAGCCCTTTTTATGAAAGAGAATTACAACCCATGCTTAATGGGGACCATATGCTGAAAGAAATCTTTCCTGAATCCCCTTTCTGGCCTTCAAACAGCTCCCCAACTTCACCAGAAGCCAGAATCCCCACAGACCAGTTCTCTTAACTCAGAGTGGCACTAGATCCTTAAGTAAAATGGATGTGAAACCTGCAGACACAGATTCACTGCTAGGATGATCAGTCCTCAAAGGAAACTTGTACAACACCTTCAGAAGATGAGTCTGGGAGCTTAAATTTGTGACTTTCTTCAAAGCTAAAAATTGTGATCTTATAAAGATGCAAGATTTTGGCATCTTACTAGTGATGCTAGGAACCCATTTGCTATGGAAAACTATTGAATTTGTGTTTTTACAGAGAATCTTTAGTTTTCACATTTTGTGAAAAAATAAAACCACATACAGTGAAAATCCCTGTTATCGGGTCAAATCAGGACCAGAGCCAGACTTGATAATAACAAATTTGGATAATCAGGAGACTGGGCAGGGCTTGAGCTGTTAATCCTGGGTGGTGGGGCTTGGGCTGTCAGTCTAAAAACTATAAATATATCAATAAAATACTGTGTTCAGCTGCTGCTACATATATCTAAAGTACAGCATTTCATTTTAATCATGGAAAATCATAGATTCTTGTGGTTTCTTCTCCGAAATTTTGAGGAGGGGGAGGAGAGAACACTAAGTTTCCTAGGTTTTTTGAAAACTAGGATTCCTAGATTCCAAAAGTCTGTAACTCGCTTCCCCCCGTAACTGGAGAGGTTTTAACTGGCCGCTTCACCTTGAATAGTCTCTTACAGTATGTGTTAAACACTTGTGCTAAACAATCTGTCCCAGCTAGTTAGTAGCTGGGACACTCTCTACACTACCAATTTATGTTGCTACTAGAAGATTTACCCAATGTTGCTCTGGTCCTCCAGGGCAGGGAGCTGCGAGTGTGGGTAGTGCAGGAGTTAGGGGCTCAGGGCAGGGGATGGGAGATCAAGCGGTCTTACTGGGACCACCTGTGGTGTCAAGGGTGGTGCTGCTCCCGCAGCGGCTCCTCCCGGGGTGGAGAGTGGGAACTGCACTGTCCACCCCCCTCACGGCTGGTGGACCCTTGTGGGTGGGGGATGCCCAGCCCCCTGCCCAGCAGCCCCTCAGGGAGGCAGGGCTGCAGGCTGGCAGGGCTCCACCTCCTCCCCTGTCCAGTGCTGCAGCTGAGGGCTGGGGCCGAGGAAGGAGTTTGAGGACAGGGACCCACTTACCTGGGCTGATGGCTGACACGAAGGAGAGTCCCATCCCCAGCTGGTCTCTCTCCTGGTGCCCCTCTGTGCAGTATAACTGTCCCCTGCACTTCCTACCCCCTGTGGTCATTGCAGAGCATGACTGTCTCTCCTGTCAGACCCCTCCCTTTCCATGTTATGAAAAACAATTGAATTCCAGGCACATCCCATTTTCCTGGTACAACCAAACCTTGACCTTGCTTTAAGTAAGGATAAGAGGAAGCTGCCTGCTGAATTTGATGGTCCAAACTCTTACAGTTTAGGAGGAGTTCTTGCACAAATGGACTCATAGACTCCTGGACAATCACAGACAGACTGACAAACACCCTCTCTAAATCTGTATATACAGAGAGAGATAACTAGGTCACTCGAGGGTATGGATTTTCCACATCTGTATTTATACTAATTCCCAGTGTAGACAGCGCTATGCTGAGGGGAGGGCTTCTCTTGTTAACATAACTACTGCCTCTGAAGGAGATGGAGTACCTACACCTACACCTCCTGTCCATGTAGGTAGCATCTTCACTATGCTCTACTGCTGCACAGCTCCACTGGTACAGCTATGCCACTGCAGTGCTGTAAGTGCAGACAAGCTCTCTGATTACCCTTCCCAGAGCTGAAGAACAGCTGTTTCATTTGAAAGCTCATCTCTTTCACCAACATAAGTTGGCACAGTAAAAGATATTAGCTAATGCCTCTCGTCTCTGAGATGAACATGGCTACACCAATGCTGCAAACAAAAAGTTCTAATTATTCAGTGCAAAAACAGTACTACTTCCATAACGCTGTTGGATTCCTAGAATGCAAACCAATTAAATAAGCAACTGAGTTAGCAAATATTAAGCCCAAAGATAAGATATGACTAAAAAGCCACATGGTCTATGCTTTGCTGAGAGCCCTGAAATTTGACTGTGTCAGCAGAATCTTTGTTCTTTGTAAATACAGATGGAGAGCTCAGAAAAACTGTAGTTAGGTTGACCAGGTCAGAGGGAGGATTGAGTAGCATACAGCATGGAAAGTTGTTACTGAAAAGGAACTTTTTGTGAAAAATTGAGCAAATTAAAATAGAGTAGGAAGAGAGGCTAAAATGAAAGCTGAGTCTTAACCTTAATTCTCTCCCTCGCTGCTGATCTGGTGTGTACTTGTTTGGTTTCTCTTTTAGATACATTTTGATGGTTGGGATCATAGTTATGATTTCTGGGTCGACGCAGACAGCCCTGACCTTCACCCTGTGGGCTGGTGTGCAAAAACTGGACATGCCCTACAGCTCCCGCTAGGTGAGGGGATGATGTCATGCTGCTATGTTAATTTTTCTTCTCCTGACTAATCTTTAAATGCAAAAAATATATTATTGAACTATTTTCATTGCTAGGTGCTGCTGATATGATGGGAGTAGCAGGGCAGGGGTGCCCTACCCCCGGCTGCCAGGGTATTGGTCATGTCAGAGGATACCGATACGGAACACATTACACGTACGTGCACCATAGGCTGTGAGGAATAGTTTTCATACCTCAAAATGAGGGTTTTAGCAGCCTGAATCTTATTGTTCATGGTAACAGTACAACTATGTCCCCATGCACTGTATTGGTCTTGTTACTCTGTAGATACTGTCATGTCTTTGGTTGCAGCTCCCTCTTGTGTCTAAATGGACTGCTTGACTATCAGTTCTGTTTGCAGTAGTATTGACAAAAAGATTGTATTTGAGGCCTTGTCTACACTACCAAGTTTTGTCGACAAAGCTTATGTCAATATCCAAAAGCTGACAAAACAAAAATCGCCAGAGGGTTTCTGCCTCTGTCAACAGATCACATCATTGACAGTGCGAGCAGTAGCAGAACAAAATACTTTAACAACTACATTGTGCTTCTTCTCCCCTAAATCGATATTGCCTTGTTGTTTGTTGTTTTCAGACATGTTATTTTAAGAAAAGGAGCAACACTAAGGGCAGTGGATGCTAGAAATCTAAGGGTACGTCTACACAGCAGCGCTATTTCAGAATACCTGACATTATTCTGAAATAACATACTGCGTGTCGACACTACAAGTCTTTATTTAGAAATAATGTTGAGCTGAAGGACTTCTTGCTCCAACTCATGGTAACCCTCATTTCATGAGGAATAAGGGAAGTCGAAGGAAGACTGTAGGTATATATCCTACAGTACCGTGTTTTGTGCCCATCTTGGTTCAGTCTCCTCACCTGCCAGGGATGGCATCGTGAGTAGCTGTGAACTCTCCATGCTGAGGAGTGTCAAAACAGCACAGCAGTCTCTCTGCCCTCTCCTGTCCTTTGCGACACAGTCTGCTTGCTGCCGTGTGCCTTGCTAGTGTAGGGCAGAATAGGAGCAGTCCAGTGATTTGCTCTTTGTTCCCCAAAAGGAACAGCTCACTCAGCTGTCAGACACTTCCTGGAGCTTTGAAAGGGAAAGGACACATGCCCCAAGGGCAGCAGAGCTCAAAACAACCGAGTGGAACAATCAGGACATACATTTTGGGATACTGGCGGAAGCCCGTTCCATGGACAAAACAAACAGCAGTGTCTACACTGGCTCTCTGCCCACAATAAGGGGAAGGAATAAGAAAAAAGTCTCTTATAGGGATGGAGGTTTTTTGTCACTGAAACCAGACATTTTTTCATGACAAAAGTTGCATTGCAGTATGTACGCTTTCACTATTTTGTTTCCAAAAGGCAGCTTTTGGTGACAAAACTTGATAGTGTAGATATGGCCTTAGTGTAACAAGTATCCATTATTAATTCACTAAGGGTACGTCTACACAGCAGGGCTAAAGTTGAATTGTGTAACTTCAACTTCAATTGTGTAACTTAAGTCGAAATAGCTTAACTTGGCTTTTGGTGCTGTCTACACAACAGGAAGTCGAAGGAAGAACAGTCTTCCTTCAACTTCCCTTACTCCTTGTGAAATGAGGGTTACCAGGAGTTGGAGTAAGAAGTCCTTCAGCTCAACATTATTTCTAAATAAAGGCTTGTAGTGTCGACACGCAGTATGTTATTTCAGAGTAATGTCAGTTATTCTGAAATAGCGCTGCTGTGTAGACATACCCTTAGATTTCTATCACCCACTGCCATTAGTGTTGTTCCTTTTCTTAAAAATACATGCCTAAAAACAACACACAACAAGGCAATCACGATTTAGGGGAGAGGGAGCATGGTGTAGTTGTTAAAGTATTTTATTCTGCTACTGACTTCCTCAGGGAGCGTGGAGTAGTCACATTTTTGGCTGTCTTAATTTTCTCCTGATGTAAAACGGGATCTTAAGGATTGACAGGATTAGATACTTATTGTCTATACTAATATCTAGTTTTTATGCCCTGTAAAGTGCTCTAAAATGCTCAGATAGAATGGGCAATAGAGGTGCAAAACATAGTGTTTTAATTTCCTATGAATTTCTGCACACGCAAGGAGACTAATGGAGAATAGCTATTATTAAGGAGCCAGTGTTTTCTTGTAGCTAAAGCCCAGTACTGGAAATCACGGGACCTTGGTTTCTAATGTTGGCTTCATCACTGGCACTCGATGTATTAGTTTCTCTATCTCTAAAAATGGGCTAATAATAGATTAATATTTGTGAAACTGCTCCCAACAGAGCAATAAAGTAGACATACACCATAAGGAGAGTTTATGCTGTAGTTTCCCCCCTTGTTTTTCTTCTTAGGAAATGTACTCTTTTGCACTTTGGACACTGCAATTTCACTTTGCATATGAGATCAGCTCATTTCGATGTTCCCTTACTCTCCTCCCACAAGATATCTGGTGCCTGGTTTTGTGCTATTCTATGACTGAAACACCCTTTCCTGACCCTGTGCCCCTTGCAGCCTTAGTCGAATCCCTATTCAAAAGTCTACTTTTGTCTAATTGTCCATCGCTGACCTCTGCTCTGGGCCAGACTCTGCTCTTTTACATTGGGGCCAACTCGTTAAAATCATCTGTGCATCTCAGAGCAGAGCCTCCTTGACAGGTCCTCCTTCCCTCTTCCATGCCCCTAGCGCTCCCATACTTCCAGTTGCACGTCTGGCATGCAGGTGCTAACCAGACTGTCTGCCCCTCGGGGCTCTTGGGCCAACATGCCTTCCCTTGCTTTAATCTCCCAAATGGCTGCACTCTCCTGGGCTTGTTGGTGTATGCATCCCTGATTTGGGCAGGGGGGACCTGGCAGGGCTAGATGATGATATAATAAAGGCTGAAGTAGAATGTTTGTTTTCAACACAGGTTAGTTGGCTGCCCATATTCTGAAGCTAACCTCAACAGAGAAAGCTCATTACATGATCGCCTCAGTGGGGAGAGGCCTTCACCCAACACTGGTGTCCAGAAATCCAAGAGACCAGTGATGCCTGCTCCATTTGTAGGCCCACGTGAGGACTCTCCACAATCCAGGTTAGGCTGGCTTTATTGTTGACCAGAGCTCTGTTGACATCCAGTGTCTGATTACCTCACAAGACTGAAAAACGGGAGTTAAGAGAATAGCAGTTAAAGCACTGAATTCATCTCTCCTCTTTGTACCCGTGACAAAGAGCAGGAGCAACCAGAAAGTGGGTCCTGTTGAGTTCCAGGAAGGTAGGTGGGTGTAAGCCCGTCCACAGCTGAAGGAGAGGAGGATCCACTGAGCCTGAGAATGCAAATGATGAGTGGAGACAACCAAAAATAAAACAAGGGCAGGTCTGAAGGTCAAAAGGAGAGAACTGGAAGGGGACACCAAGTAGAGAACCCCAGACAGCACCTACTGCTCCTGGAAGGTGTGAAGGGAGCCCGTGGACACCACCCATAGGAACTCTTCCTGGAGGTGGGATTGGAAATAGGCTTCACAATCGCAGGAGACACCTCCAACAACATCCTCTCCCTGGTATTATAGATGATCATCTTGACCAGTATTAGAAGGAGGTTGACAAGAGGCCCCGCGACTTTGTAGGGCCACATTTAGGATTGTTGGTGGAGGGCAGCTATATTAGCCCTAGAATGATGAAGACCCATTTCCCCATGAGCTGAAATGTGATTACATCAGGTCAACTAGAGACACCTGAGTCCAATTACGGATTGCCTATGACCTTTAGCAACCCCCTTTTCTGTTGAGAGTGTGAGGAGAGTTTGGAGACAAGCTGCAGCAATGAAAAAAGTTTTCTCCTGGATGGAAGGCTGCTTTCTTCCCTGTAAGGCAGTGGTCCCCAACCTTTTCAGGTTGGCAGGCGCCAGGGGGCGTAGCCGTTCACCCGCCGGGCGCCAGGGGGCGGGGACACTTGCCCGCCCGGGGGCGGCCCCCCCCAGCCACATGCCCGTGTGAGGAGAGTTTGGAGACAAGCTGCAGCAATGAAAAAAGTTTTCTCCTGGATGGAAGGCTGCTTTCTTCCCTGTAAGGCAGTGGTCCCCAACCTTTTCAGGTTGGCAGGCGCCAGGGGGCGTAGCCGTTCACCCGCCGGGCGCCAGGGGGCGGGGACACTTGCCCGCCCGGGGGCGGCCCCCCCCAGCCACATGCCCGGGGGCGGGGCTCCCCCCATAGCCATGCGCCCGGGGCCGGGGCCCCCCCCATAGCCACGCGCCCGGGGAAGGCGCCCCCCGGCAAGTGCCACGCACCTGGGGCCGGTGCTCCCCCCGTAAGAGCCGCAGGGCCAAGGCCGGGGCTGTGGCCAGGGCA